AATCCTTAGATCATAACCTTCATGAGAAAAATAGTTTTAGAGTGGGTTGCCATTTAAATTTTTTTTTTTTTTTGTAGAAATCAATAACAAAAGGAAATTTCGAAAAATTTTATTCTTGCTTGCTTACATACAGGGTGAATATAAAGTATGGAACCAAGCGTTTTTTTTTAATCACTTGCCTTCAGAAAATAATAATTGATAGAAGTTAAAGTAATATAAAATGTGTGATCGTATTTTGAGAACGAAATTTTGTTTCGTTTTGAGTTATGCGATTTTTTTGTCAAAATTGCAATTTATTTAAAAAAAAAATGAAAAAATTAAATATAAAATAGATAGTTGTAATCCTTAGATCATAACCTTCATGAGAAAAATAGTTTTAGAGTGGGTTGCCATTTAAAAAAATTTTTTTTTTTTGGAAAAAAATAACAAAAGGAAATTTCGAAAAATGTTATTCTTGCTAAAACGTCACATTTTTATAGCACTAGTTTTTCCAAAAAACAAATAGTTTCAGCAAAAAAGATTTGGTTTCATATTTTTATTCACCTGGTAGAAACATAAATTTGAGTTGGTAAAAAAACAAAACGCTTAAAAAATTGATGTTGCCTTCGTTGTCTAATAACATTGGAACCAGAATTGTTGTTACAACTTGATCTATTTRAAGTTGTTTTTCTTTCAATTATTTTGAGGCGGTATAAACTTTCAAATCAAAATATTGTAATTCATTGTTGTATGAATTTCATTAGTTATTGAAGCATATTTTATCTAATAAATTTTACAAGGTGAATTTAGTGGGTTAAACAAAAAAAAAACGATAATTACAATTAAAATAGTTTTTCATAGAATGTCGTGTTTGAAAAAGCAAAATGTTAACACAAGAACCAATGAACGATTTGGCCGAAAATTTAATCGTTTCTTACCCCAACTACAACAAACAAGTTTACAAAAATCATTGCGATTACACATTTATAAATACTGAGTGTTCTGTTTTTTGTCAGTTATTACACCCGGTATTTCAAAATCCCGGATATCTAACTGCGGTTAAATCTTACTCAAAATTTTAACCTTGGGTGCGAGTTTAGTGTTGAGAATTGATTAGGTAGAAATTGGGTCAAATTAACCAAAATTAGCATAGTATACTACAACCCAATTTAAATTTAGACTTTATTCCGACTTAAACTTTCCATTTGATTATCGATTGTCAATCGTCGAAGAACAAAGTCAATTGCATGTCCCTCTCCTATCACTTATTGAAACCAGAACAGGTGACTCAGATAAGCAAGCAACATTTTTATTGAATTATGGAGATATTGTTGCTAATCAGATCGAATTAAGTGCAAAAGCGAATACTGCTACTTCTAAATTGCAGATTTCTCTTGGCAGAGTTTAATTTTTATCTAATCAATATTTGTTTTCGCTCAAGGCTAGAATTAATTTAAGAAGATGTCATCGGTTTTATGTCCTTAAATTGCAACTTTCACGACCATTAAAAAAGCTTCACCAAAAATAACTAATCAGAATCGTACAAAGATCCTGATTGACAAGCGATTAATTTGTAATGAGGTAAATAAATTACCTGGGAATGAAACTAGTCATCAGCAAAAAATAGTGACTATGTTTTTATTGAATTAGAAGATAATTGCTTACTGCATTTTAATGTTGCCTTTCTTGTAAAACAATGGATTTTTATTTTGGTAACACTTGCATACAATAAACACAATTAATACTCATCTTAATGCAAATTACATTAATTTTTAAAATTTTATTTCGATAAACAACTCTTCTACATGATTAGTCATACTGTTCTCCTATTATGGGTTTATCTTTCGGTTTATCTTTCGTTCCCATCAAACCCACTTCATTCAAAAAGAGACTTTCTATGAGGAATTATGATGACAATACATTGTCGTAAAGTGTCACAATAACATAAACTCTTTTTATGGAAGGAAAATTGATTGCAGTTCCATGGGAATGATTTACAATCGGCGTATTTTTTACAGACAAACAAGCAGTAAAAAATTTAGTGTACAGTATTAAATGGTAATTAAGTTTATGCAAAAAAGGTTAATGATGCATTTGAATCCAATTAAAATACACAGTTAATCATTATCGGTCATGCACTTCGTGCAGTAAAAAGATACGAACACTTTTTTTAAATTTTGACCTTTAGACAAGAGATCACTTAAAAATTAATGTAAACACAAACAAATGCGGGTACACTGTATATCATTTAAAAAAAAAAAAAAACAACTTTTGTCTTTTTCTACACTGACAATAAAAATCGGAAGTACCATTTTTGATGACTTATTTTATACGAATTGAAAGAGAGACTATTTGTGAAGCTTATTCTAGAAGATTCAGTAAAGTTTTTAAAGTTTGTCACAATTTTTACTAAAATGTATCAACACAATATTATCAATGGAAAGTTCAACGTATTGCTTATCATATTCGTACATAATTATTATTTTAAGTATACAAGTTTAACAACATTCAGTTTGAAACAAAGAAATACTTGTGGAAAATCAATTGAGTTGTTAAGATTAGTTAAGCTTTTCCGCTTAATCACCACTAATTTAACAATTAGAGCGAAAAGTTATATTGATATTAATTATTTTTTATTAAACATGTTGCACTTACAGACAATAAGTGAACATCCTTGATCCTTCAGAACAGAAAATGTTTGTTTTTTCCTTTACCCTGAACAAGAAATTCTTTGAATGTAATTTCCGGTGATGAGTTTATTTCATCAATACACTGTTAAAGGTTGCAATTTGCAATGCATAAAATAAACTTGTAATGAAATTACCATAAATTAATTTAAATCACATTAAAATAATCAACGTGGGTGTGCTTACATTTTTAATGTTCCCAATTCCAGTTTTCAATGTTTTAAATGTAACATAAACATTTTTAGTTTTTTATCTTGGTCACAAACACAAACATGATACTGGCATTGACTTTGACATAACCGTGGTTTAATAATTACACATTAATTCCATACATAATGCAATATAGCTAGGAATTAATACACTTTTTCCTTTTTGACTCGGTGAAGGATTATCTACTATAAAATCAACAATCAAAACATCAGATTTTATTACGATAAATGTTGCTCAGTCTTGTAGTAAATAATCTCAAAGCGAGCATGACATCCAAGTAATTAAAACACAGAATACATAAATCAGCAAGGACAACGTTTATTTAATAAACAAAACATTATTTATCATATCATTATTCCTTACAAGTTTAAAATGTTTGTTATACTGTTCATATTTAACAATGTAAATATATTAAATATTTACTCTTTTTATTCACTATAATTTTACAATCAGGTTTCAAAAAGTTACTTATGTAATAATTAATACCTAATACATTTTCAAGATTAGCCGTTTTGATAATCTTCTACGAAACAAATAGCTACGTTGTAAGAATTATTACATGCAAAAATAACACCTGCTGTTTGGGTGGGTAAGCTAATGATAGACATGCCTGAATTTGATATAGACAGGTAAGGTAAGGTCAGTGATCTCCATAAAAGAACTAACATATTTCTCATAACACATCATCTCTGCAACTTTTTTCCCATCTTTCACTCTTGCAATAAAGATCCGTTAATACTATTCAAATTTTTAATGGCAAGGTGAGACTCATTTTATCCGAAGTGAACTCATCTTTTAATGTACTATACATGTAAAATTTAGAAAACGAGTTAATTGTATATTACAGTCACTGAATAGATATTTAAAAAATGGCAAATCTGCGGATACCATATTGCAAGCTTCTCGGTTCTATCTACGTGTTTAGATTTTTATACTTATTGCACTTTTGATAACATATCTAACATCCCAACAACACCAAATACATATATTATCCGATAGCAAAGTTGTTATCGATCATTAATCAAGGTAATAATTACTTTTTTAACATTCAATATTTTCTGTTAAACAATCCAAAAATAAACTTTATTTTGTACTTAATGTTAAAGAGTGCTTTTATCTACTAATATCAGTAGATAAAGTAGTCTTTTATCGTCTAGTGAAATAAAGTAATTTTTATGTACTGTTTATATTCAAGAAATTCTAGTAGATGAGTACAAAAAAATAAAACGAAATACAATTATTCACGACGATAAAGATTGAAAAAAAGTCCACTCGTGACTTCTTCACTCGTAAATAAACAATTTCTTTATCGTCTTGTATAATAAATAACAATTGCATATTTGAAAATTTATCCTCTGTATCACATATTAAATTTTGTTATTAGTTAACTACGAAGATAGCAAATCTCAGAAAAAGCAATCATTACTTTTGTATTATGTAAAAAAAGTAAATAAAAAAACATAAATGAAGACCAAAAGTCTTGTACTCAAGAAGGAAAAGATGGATATTTTACTATTTAGCAATGTACTCTTTAGATTATTTTATTGATAAATGATTTTTGAAATAAAAGGTTTTGTGGTTACATAAATATTTGAAGTTTTCATTGAAACTAAATATTATAAAATAAAAATTATTATACAGGCTGTCCCAAAAGTTGCCAAACAGTTATGATACATTATTATACAGATTGTTCCGTCTAAACCGCTAAATAAAAAAAAATATTTTTAAGATGACGGTTGTGTTTAAACTTTTTGTTTTTTATTTTAAATAGAAAGCTATGTTTATTTATCTCGTTTTTGGGCTACTCAAATCAGTATCCTACCCTACATCTAAATTTAACTCTTTTCAGAGTACCTATTAAACTTTTTTGAAAATATTTAGATTTGAATTTGCTTCATAAAAAACCGAAAAATACTTCCCAAAAAATACATTTCGCAAATTAAACAAATAAAAATAAAAACTGCAATTTGCAGACGTATGTACAAATAAATTAATTGCAAAAAATGATAGTTTTGCCAGAAAAAAATAGCGCCATTCTGTGAGAAAAAACAATATGTCCAAAACAATAATTTACTCGTATTTTCTGACACTGATTAATAATTTTTGTAAAATTGTGGATAAAATGTAGATTTTATTAAAATATTATCTTACAAGGGATTGAGATTAAAATAAAAATGTCTTTTACAATTCGATTACAATTATTAGTAGTTACCATATGTGTAGGATTTAGACGCAATTTACAGAAAGCGAATTAAAATTTAATTCAAATTAATAAACTAGTTCGAATTAAGTTATCATTTATTTTGCTGAGCCAAACCAAAATTAACCGCAAATTAAAATTTGTTAATTAAACCCTCCGTAAACAAAATAATAGAATTTTACGAAACAAATTTTTTCGGCTATGTATTCGATATATTTGTACTGATAAATTACTTCATACCAACTTTCCTTTTCTCTTTTCAAATATTTAATGACATCCTTTCTGTTACCATCAATTTTACACTTGCTGTAAAATGTATAAAATGAAAGCGACTTTTAATTACCTGTTGTTTGCGTACGAGAGAAAGAGCTTTTTACTGATTTTTAGCAAAAAGTAAATTGTGTCGTAATAATTACATCCTACTTACTTAAAATTTACAACATTCCAGAAATTTGCGGAAATAGTGAACCACTTATGTGTTTTGTTGACAATTAAAGGTAAAAAATAATTTTCCTTTCCGCAGATTAAGTGTTTTTTAATTTTATAGAACTTTGTCTCGATATCATATCAGAGTGATGAAATATTTAATGCCTATGTCAAAATAAGTTATTCGTTTCGTAGATAAAAATATGTAAATTTTCATTCAAAATATTTATTGGTACGTGAAAAGTTTTCATTCTAAACACGTTATTAGTATTCCATCGAGCGCAGTCATGCTCTTATTGTTTACAAATCCATTGTCAACATTGCTGTCCTTCTACGAAGGCACACAAAAGTTATACAATCCGTTTCCTGTGGATTAAAAAATGGGTCAACAACTCACCTGAGTCTCATTTTCTTTAATCTCTTCATTTTTAACTTGAGTTTCTTCCGATTTTTTTTCCACATCTTCTATTGTTTTACTCTTGTCTTCCAATTCGTGAGGGCATGACTCATCCTCGCTTTTCTGCATCGGGGAATTCTCACTTGAACTGGAGGATTGATTATTGCAATTATTCTCAACTTCTTCCTTCTCATCCTCCACTTGTCTACTGGGTCCAGCCACCGAACTTATGGAGCTAACACTCGACGACAGACTGCTATTTCCGTTGTATTTAGTAGTGAGACTCATCGTCTTGGACTGTTTGTTCTTCTTGTAGGAGACCAAGGAGGAGCTCAACTTGGAGGGCTTGTCCTTCTTGGGCCCCTCGAAGTCGATCACCATCGAGAAGATGTTCTTCTTGGCGGCCGTCGCCGGCGGCGTCTTCGGCGGCTCGGGCATCTCATTCARATCGACGTAGAACCCCAGCGGCGACTTCCTGGCAGCCTCCTCCTCGAGGTGSACGATGGAATTGTAGGGCGTGCTGGTTTCGGGGTAATTGGGGGCCGTCGCGGCGACCTCGCTGGCCTCGTTTCCGGCCATCTGAAGCATGGAAAACTGCGGAATGGACGACTGGAAAATGAGGGCCCCCTGTCTTCGCTCGTCGCTCCTCCGCATGTCGGCGACGACTTCCGCATCGTCGGAGAGACTCGCCGCGTCGATGAAGCAGCCACTGAGGAGCTGCTGGTTTCGGAGTTGTTTCTGTTCCTTGGTTCGACCTCTGCGGTCTTCGTCGCTTCCCAGACCCGAGTCCATGGCTCTTCACATAGCTCACCGGAAAATCGATTCGTCGATTTCTGGTTTTTACGCTCTTACAGACGCGACCAACGAGCGCTGCGAGGAATTACCGGAAAAACGCATTTTACCTCGACTTTGTAACACTGAAACATAACACCGACTCCAGCTATTGACTATTTTGTTTTATACAAAAGCATGATATTGAATGAACAGGTTCTGTCAAGTGTCGGATGTGTTCGGTAGGAGATCGATTTGTCTTCGGGTTGGGGATTTGCTTGTAGGGCGCTTGCGTGTGGCACCAATGTGGCGCGGCTGCAGTGTTGCCAGGTCTGGAAAATTTCACCAGATCTGGTGATTTTCATGTGTTTGGTGATTTGGTAAAAACTTCTACTAATATCTGGTGATTTTTTTGTAAATGAAAAAAACTGTTTTTCGAACATTTTCCACGTTTTCAACCAGAAACTTCATTATTTCGTCAAATTTTTCAAAAAGTCGAAAAACCGTCAAATTGGTTAAAAATAGTTCTGTTTGTTTTTTTATCGGTTTCTGTCTGTTAAGAGCAATATTACATGCACAAAAATAGTCTGGTAACTATGGTATAACCTTATTGATTGCTGTAAAATTTTACAATATTGAAATGTCAATTTTACAATATCGATATGTCATTTTTACTGACATATCAATATTGTAAAATTGTAAACTCGCTCGGATTTCAAACTGTCATTACATCCTAGAATTTTTGGATTTAATTTGTTACAATTTTTGGATTTAATTTGTTTCCATTTTTGGCTTATTCGACAGAAACCGATAAAATCTTGAACAAACCTCAGATGTAATAATGTCATGACAGCTTTAAATATCTTAAAATCCTCGCTACTCCCTCGGATTTTAAACTGACATCTGCAGCTGTTATGACATTCATTACATTCTAGGTATGTTAAAGATTTCACTAGACAGGATCAAAAATGACTATTTTTGTTTTTTTTTGAATACTTTTTCTGATGGAAACACAATTATTTCGTAAAATTTCGTTAAAAATAAACCAAAAAATCCAACAAATTCGACCAAAAACGGCGTTACTTTTGCCCTCTTCAAGTGTTTAAGCACGTTTTTGAGGTAAAAACAAAGTAAATTCTAAAAATTACAAAATTAAAGCGAAATTCACATTATTTTTGGTTTGTTTCGCTCGCCTTTCTTCGTTTTTGAACCAGAGGCTCATTTATTTTGTAAAATCTAGTCCAAACACGCTTAAAAATCACAAAAACAATTGATAACTGATGTTATTTGGTTTATTTCACTTGATTTAACTGGTTCTTGAACAAAATAAGACAAAAATAAGCCGAGAATGTTTTTAAGTACCACAATCTCAGGTTTTTTGCGAGATTGGCTAAAAAGAACTGAAAAATCTACAAACTATGTCGAAAATTTTGACACGCTACAGCGTGTCAAAAATCACTAAATTGCTATAAAAAAAAATTATATTATAATATTTTTACSTAACTCTTAGGCTTTAACTCGATTATTTCGCCAAATTTTCTCAAAGAAAAAATAATCAAAAACCACCAAATTGGTTAAAAATAGTTTTATTTGTTTTTTAAAAGATATTACTAAGCATAGTCAAAAATGACAACTTATTTTTGTTTTTTCGAATGTTTTTTTCAGCTAGAAACACAATTATGTATTTTCAAATTTTGGCAAAATAAGCCACAAATTCAACAAAATTGCCCAAAAAAAAAGACGTTTTTTTTGTCTTTTTGAGAAATAAAAACATAGAGTTCAAAATATTGCATGGAAACAGAATAAAAAAATACAAAACTAAATCAAAATTGATATCATTTTTTAGTTTGTTAGCCGACTTAGTTCGTTTTTGAATTAGAAGCTCATTTATTTTGCAAAATCTTGTCCAAACACGTCTAAAAATGACAAAAAGGATTGATATTGATGTTATTTTGTTTGTCTCACTCGATTTAACTGTTTTTTTTAGCAAAATAAGTCAAAAAATAAGCAGAGTCCGAAAACGCTTTTAACCACGTTTCTGTACTAAAATCTCAGGTTTTTCGCTACATTTCGCTAAAACAAAGTAAATAATCAAGAAATGAAGTCTAAAATTACATAATTTTTGTATTTTTTGATCGTTTTAGCACGTTTTGCAGTTAGAAACGTCATTATTTCGCAAAATTTTATTGAAAACAAGCTGAAGGTCAGAGAATTAGGCCAAAAAGCATGTCATTTTTGCTTTTTTCCAAAAGTTTAAGCAGATTTTTATTCTGAAAACTGCGTTTGTTGCGAGATTTTGCCATACAAATTGTAATCTGGTAAAAATTTGGCAAATTTTTCATTCGGATCTGGTGAATTTTATGTTTTTGATCTGGCAACAGTGCGCGGTTGTTATTGGGTACTTTTCTAATCCAAACAATCGTTTTTATTAGTCAATAAGAAATCTGTTCTATTTTCTGCACTCCTGGCAGAAACAGCAACTGGTTTAGTGCTTTGCTATTTCAAATATTTTCTCCTGATGATTGGAGTTAATCCAGTATAAATAACAAGCCAAAATTTTCCATTAATTTAAATTAATTGATGCCACTTATAAAAGATAACCTTCCGGTAATAATCTAAAAAGGATTAAATTGCGCTTTCACCAATTTAAAATCGGGTTTTTTAGTACATTGACTAATTTGCTGCTATCTTTATTGCAATTTTTCTACTTCACGATAAGCGATATCCGTATTTACAATAATTCGTAGGTAATGCACAATTATTTTTGAAGATAAAGAATCTGATAAAAACTTTTTTTAAATTAGGTGGTTTAAAAAATAGATAGTTAACCCATTTCTGTCTATTTGAAAGGTGTCTATTATTAGACTGAATACATAAACAAATTCAAGGTGTGAAGCCTTAAGATTAGAAATACCTAACTAGATACTAGACCCTAAAATTTTTCTGCAAAGTTTTTAATAATAATAACAATAATAAAAAATGGTTTCTTTTTCTTTTGCCGGGTCATTTATTGCAGTAGAGCCGCCGTACTTATTAGAATCTCAAGAAAATCCTTTTTTATTATGTTTACCATTTTGTCATTTTTAAATATCTACTTTACCATATCAATAATGTCCGATTTAAATTATTATTCATTATCAATTTAAAAATAAAAAAGCATATTATGTCCTTAAAGTTCTATAAACTACATTAGAATTCCAAACACTGAAGATTATTTTTGTCAAATTGTAAAATTATAACTCGTTTAATGGTCCCATTTGGAGACTTACAGTACAACCTCGTAGTCCGGAAATCCAGATTACCTACTGCGATTGTTTGACTACGAGTTCTTTACTATTAAAGCAAAATGCATTAAAAACTCATAAGAGTTGACTCTACTGTAATTAGACTTTCCGTTTTTTATTTTTTGGTCATCCAATAAAAACAGCTGTCTCTGAGTGTTTTTCCTCTATAAAAAAATGTCAGATTTTACGCACGTTGTTTCTGCAAAGTTTATTTAAAATAAGATCACAAACGTTTCGGGCTACATAAAAGCAACCATGCAAAAACAAACAACCTGTATTTATTTTGAAAATACGCATATGGATATCATTAAAAATTTCCACTAATAAAACAAACTTAGGCAACCAGCTTTGTCGATTTGTCATTCGACTGACATAAAAATGTAAAACGGGCCTTAGGCAACTAACCTCACTTTCGGTTTTTGTAGTTTATATTCTGATAGCCAGAAAAAAGATTACACCAAATCAAAATAATCTATTGAACTTGTATAACTGGCATAAYATCGACGTCAAATTTCAACTAAAACTTTCAAATTTTAGTGTYAAACGTCAATTATAATGACAATAAAGCGTGGATTACATTGACATTTTTTGAACAAATTTGATGTCTAAAATTCCGTGTCTACTAGTGTAGTAAAAAATATTGAACGGTCTTATGTAGGTGTTTTCTGGGAGTATTAAAACAAGAACCCATTTTGTATAAAATTTATTTGAGAACTGTATTTACACGATAACATGTCTAGGAAAAGTAAAAATTGCTTGACTGGGGACAATAAAGTAGTAACATATTTGTCACGTAATATTTGTTGGTCTAGGCCTCAGAATAAGTTTGCCTGAATCATCACATGACATATTAAAGTCATTTAATACTTCCCTTGTTCTAGATGTAATTATRGAAGCTGCTATGACTCTCTTGTGCACACCAAGACATAAAATAATTACTAGAAATAAAAAAAATAGACATTAGTTTACAACTGGGGTTGCATTTGGTGCTTACGGAACATAATTGTGGAAACTATGAAGAAAGGGTGATTCGTTAAAGATTGTGAAAGTGGAACTATGCGTGTTTCTGGGTCCATTAACCACTGACCGGCACCTGTCGCTATGCATATTGAGACAACTATGAGGACAACTATAACATATAATGATGTAAAAACAAACTTTATCGGTATTATWWTCAACATACTTCTCCATCTTATCGTCGAAGGATGCAAACAAGCTATAACTTCTGTAAGACGTCTTTCAAAGGCTTTCAAATCTGAAATTATATCTATCTTATAGGTTACGACTATACTTTTCAATCAATGAGGACATTTATACCTTCACATGCAGTTTGTTCAAGAGACATAATTACAAGATACACTTTTAGTCTTTTCACAATAAAATGAACACTGTGTTTTGTCGTAAATGCAAGTATTTGGATAAATCATTTAGCTTAACTAAAATAGAATTTGACATTTCACACGGAAAACGACATTATTGAATTTTGACATTCCAGACTAGCACGGATAACAACCAATTTTAAAACACGACACAAGACGCAACTTAATATTTTACGGAGAACACAACAGGTAGCAGCACATGCAATATTACTAGTGGTTTGAAATGAAAACATCGAAAAAAACACATCATATTCGAATATCAAGTAAAAATAGATAATTTAAGAAAAAATCGACTAGGATATCAAATTTTCGAGACTTTTAAAAAAATCACTTTACCTATCACACCAAGATTTAATATCAATGCATTGTATTTATGTATTAGGTTAAGTTTGAGTAGCCTCGGCTAAATTTCGTCCAAATAAAGGCTAAATAAATAGATATTTAATTTTTGTGTAATAAAAAAAAATTTAATTTACTTTTTCAGCTTTTAAATTACTACCACAATTAATATTATTTTCATAGTTAGTATATCACAATGTTAATTCACTGGCGGACACGGAATTTTGGACGATTTGTCATTCGACTGACATAAAAATGTAAAACGGGCTTTAGGCAACTAACCTCACTTTCKGTTTTTGTAATTTTTATAAYGAGAGCGAAAGAAAAATGACAACAAATCAMAATAWTGTATTGATCTTATATAAAAACACGTATTGCTGGCATTATTGTTTCGGAAAATGGACGTCAAAAATAAATTTCAACTAAAACTTTCAAATTTTAGTTTCAAACGTCAATTATAATGACAATAAAGCGTGGTTTACATTGACATTTTTTGAACTGACATAAATTTGATGTCCAAAATTCCGTGTCCGCCACTGTGTGTAGTGTGAAAAAGTCTTGTAAAAAATTTATCTCAAACTGCACTCTTAAAACACACTTGCCAGTAACTAGGTCTTATTTTAAAAGAATCGTTGTAGTGAACAGACTCTTAAATTTATTACACTACTGAAGTGTTAGCTTTTCGAAATTGCTGACTTGTTCTCACTTCAGTTTCTTATAAAATTTTATCTTGTATTATCTCACAAAGCTACTATCCATACTAGTTTCAGCCTAAATTCTTTCACAAAGTTATTTCTAATAAAAACACTAGGCTATATTTTTTCAATTTTTTTCTAACATTGATAAAAATATCTGTATCTTATGTAATTTTAGTCAAAAAATCTAAAAATGATTACCAAAATTTTCCATCACGTAAGGATTTTTTGTTATTTTTTTTCATATTTAAAGAGTAATCGAAGAAATCAGTTATTCATATTCACGATATAGAACTGAACTAAAAAAATGAATGTATGAAACTGTTTATAATTTTAAACTAAGTGCACATTGAACACAAATTTGACAAGGAAATATTTTCAAAAATTTCGTTTTTGTTTTTTCCTTTTATAGAGACCTGCAAAAGTTCCCCATCATTATCGAATCCCATAGATACCTTGATACCTTTTTTCCATGGCACTGATAGCTTGATGAAAACGCTCTTATTTATCACTTACAGCCATTAAGTTTTGTAGAAAGAAATCGAATCAGAAAATRCACTTTTAGAGACATTCGGCAGACAATTTTCCAATGGTTTTTAGATAAATTTTATTTCTATTATTGCCAAGAGACTTGTGGCCTACACTCTTAAATTTTGTCTTAGATACATAAACGATTTATTTTCGTACTTGCGATTACAAATCAGTATTCAGGATAAAATTTAAATTTATATCATAGTTATAACAATACCCTATAAAAAAATATTAATTAATAATGTGACGTGTTGGAAGTTTTTATTTTTACAATTATAAAATTAATATAATATTGTCTACCTTTTAGTGGTTTGAACACATGACAATTATTTGAGAAAATAGTAGATTACATACCGAGGTGGGAGGTATTTTATTCACCATCATCACGATATTGCCAGCTTCAAGATTGTAAATTATTGAATGTTATTTATTCCATTACAACATGGAAAGACGAAAATAAAATAATAATCACAAAAAATAAATAATAATCACTGTCAAAGGTTTTCAAAAATAGTTTAATTATGTGTATCTTTTCATAGTCAGTGTTTTTTAAACCTATAGTCACTTGTGGTAAGGATAACATTTTGCAAGAAAAGGTGGAAAATAAAACTGTTATCATATAAAATAGTAATCAGACAACAACGGACTTGTTTGCTAAAAAAATAATAATAAAAATTTCTGGCAAAAATGTTCAACTTTCAGTGGTTAAAGTTTGATTAATAATTTCTAATACACTACATAAAATACAAAGAGGATGCAAATGTGTAAAAACTGAAAAATATATTTGTAGATATTAAGATATTAAAAACAGTTCGATTTTTAGCGTCTGTTCACATTTAAATTAAGTTAGATTAAGTTTAAATCAGCATTCTATGTTGTAAATTTTATTGTAAGTTTTCTTGAGATAACAGTTCATTTCTAGAGACTAAACTTTTTTTGCTTTTTTAAAGGATAACGTAAAGTATACTGATAAATGTCTCTAATGGATCTTATTTCAACTGGGTTTACTTTACGACTTTTTTAACAACTAATAATTTTCAGCTCTACACTTACTTACACTTTAAACCCTGATCCTCTAAACTTTATCGTCCCGTTTCTCAGCATGTTCCATAATCCACACTTATTTTATTCACATTACAAACTTAACTGTTACATTGATGTCTCTAAAGAACTGGATTTAAGAGATGAAAGAAATGTTAAAGTCAAGAGGGGAAATATTTCACAAAATTTACTTTAAAATTTTGATCTTCAATTTATTTATTTCAACAAAACCAAAACATATAAATGCGATTTAAATAAATATAAAAAAATATATATTTTGTTGGGTAAAAGTCCACCTTTCTTTCAATGTCTATGTAGAACGGACAAAATTTCAATTCCATATTAGCACATCCAAATATTTTTCGAACTTTTAACATTTCAGACCAATATTTATTTAAAAAATTAAGGGCTCCAATTATAGTTGTAAAAAAACTACAGAAAAACTATTGCAAATCATCACATCTAAAAGGAACCATAATTATTTCTCACAAAAATACAAAAACAATTTTTTATTGTTAAAAAAAAGTTTTAATTTTATAATTTCGACACCTTTTGGCATGATATAAAAGAATTTTGAAGGATACAAAAATGTTCATTTTACTTTTTAATATTATTATTAAAATGTTTCAGGTTGTGTGTGTGTAATAAGTAATAAGAGTAAGTATACTTTTTGTAAATGTAAAACAATAGGTTATTATTATTATAACCATTTTATGTTAGTTTGTGCCACCTTTTWTTAATTTATTTTTTTTAAATTTATTATCACCCGATGGTTTAATTGATGGTGGTGATAAAGATATCGAAATTTAATGTCCTTACTCAGTTAGAAATTTAGAATCAATAATAAGAAGCTCCTAGATTCATAAAAACGTTTTGTAGTCTATTTCAAATTTCTTTTTGTAAAGTGAGATAAATAAAATTCTTCATATAATATCTCCCACTGTGTTCGTCGACCAAGACTCATTTGCATGTAATATAATCTCTAATCCTTTTTTCTAGATAATTATTAATTACAGCGAAAGAAAACTTATGTCCCATTAGTAAATAACAAATAACAAAAAATCATGTTAATTAATGAACAAGAGTGATTACCGATTAATTATTCTATCTCCGATTTTATACCACTTGCCTAGTCGAGTCTAAGAATTTTATTATTTTATAATCATATTGTTATTACTACTCTTCGGTGCTTGTTGCCAACGCACTTTACCTAACTGCTGAAGGTCAAAATCTTCGAAGGTGGTTTAAAAAAAGCCCTCTAGTGTCTAATAGAAATATGAAAGACTGGTATATCACAAAAAAAAGAAATAACCAAATAGTTGTATGTTTAAATAAGACCAAGTGTATTCTGGGTTGTCTATTACGGCGTTAAATATGGCGCCACCCTGTGTGCCAGAAACACATTACTTCCCAGTACCTATAGTTCAACCTTAAGTGTTAATTATTACTTTTTTAACTATATTTTTCATATTAATGACAAAACCTATAAGTATCGTGATCAAAAGCGCTCTGAAAATTTCATAAATGTATGTCTTGAATGGTACAACTTCAATACCTGTCAGTTATCTGTCAAATTTACCAATTTTTCATGAAATAAATTTTTTACATTGTTACAATGGTTTTTGTTATTTCATTAAATGTAATAATCTGTGTAAAACAAACGTTCCTGAAATTTTTTGAATTCTCATATCAATAAAATTGATGTAACTAATACTCGTAATATCAATAATAAATAATTTTTGTTTCCAAAAAATTATAAAATTTTATGAAACAATAATAAAAAAATAACATTTTTATGTGAAATATCTTTTCAATGATTTTTGAATTTGGGCAAAATGCCTTCACTTTGTTATAAAATCACACCCTTGACAATTTCACAATGTCGGAGTAAAAACCGCTATCAAGTTTTCCGCTCTTTTATTTTTAATAAAGCTCCATTCAGTAAATGTGTATAAATTTCGCATTTTCAGTCATTTCAGTTTCAAACAGTACGAAAAATTTGTGCTCGTATGCATAATAAAAATAATCCGTAATAAAGGACGTGATGTGTGTGGCAAAACGCTGAGAAACAGTGTTGCATTCTGATATATGTTTGTGATGCTACAGGTGCGCGTTGTTGGGGTAGGATATGATATGGAATGGTATCTCGAGGGCGACAATGGCGGGGGCGGGGGTGAGACTGCCGCCCGGGCGTCCACGTGATCCGATATCGACCCGGTGCGCCCTTCCTGGCCGTCCATTTTAAACACGTTCATACACACATTCATTAGACTTTTTCCTCAATTTCTGGAATTAATGGACCGTCCTTACGAGACACTTGTCCATTTTGCCCAACGCCCCGTTTTACGACCATCTAATGGACGGGGGCGGGCGACGCGCCGGGGGTGGTACCACTTGTGGAGTCACATGCCTTCGCTTGCTCATTATCATGGTTATTGGTTCATCTTTCAGCCGCGGATAGCTGCTCAAGACGTGACAATTTCATAAAGAATTTTATTTTCATTCCTCACCCTTGCTGGA